TAAAGGATGGTGTTCCACAGGGCTCTGTCTTAGGACCCATGTTATTTACCTTATATATGCTACCACTAGGTACCATCATTACAAAACATGGCATCAGTTTCCACTGCTATGCCGATGATACACAATTATATATTTCAGCTAAACCAGAGGACAAAACTGAACTTAATAAGATAGAGGACTGTGTCAAAGACATTAAAGAATGGATGTCAAGCAACTTCCTTTTACTAAATTCGGACAAAACCGAAGTCCTTCTTCTTGGTCCAAAAGCTGCTAGGGATAATCTGCCTACATTTACTCTTAATCTCGATAGTTTCTCAATTGCACCAGGCACATCTGTAAAAAGTCTTGGTGTCACGATTGATCCCAGTCTGGCCTTCGATGAGCATATTACCAATATTACCAGAATAGCTTTCCTCCACCTGCGTAACATCGCTAAATTAAGAAATGCACTGTCGCTGCAGGATGCAGAAACGTTAGTTCACGCCTTCATCACGTCCAGGTTAGATTACTGTAACGCTCTGCTTTCTGGTTGTTCCAGCCAAAACCTTAACAAGCTTCAGTTAGTCCAGAACGCTGCAGCCAGAGTTCTCACCAAAACCAGGAAATTCGACCCAATTGCCAGTTAAATTCCGCATTGAGTACAAGATTCTTCTACTGACGTATAAAGCTCTGAATGGTCTTGCTCCTCAGTACCTCAGTGACCTTATTTCCTATTATCAACCGACACGCCCACTTAGATCACAAGGTGCGGGCTCATTATTAGTACCCAGAATAAATAAAGTTACGTCAGGGGGAAGAGCCTTCTCATACAAAGCCCCCCAGTTTTGGAATAACCTACCAGTCTGTGTTCGGGACTCAGACACAGCCTCTATCTTTAAGTCTAGGCTAAAAACGTACCTGTTTAGTCGAGCTTTTGGTTAATTTGTTTTTCTAACTATGTCCCTCTCTTGTCTTACATAGTGCAGCTTCAAGTAAGTTGTGACAATGAACAATCTGATTATCACCACTTGATGCTTTTCTGCATTCTGCTCAGTGGCGGTCTTGGCTTGACTTCCATCCATCCATCCATCATCTAAACCGCTTATCCTTCTGGGTCGCGGTGGGGCGCTGGAGCCTATCCCAGCTGTCATCGGGCGGAAGGCAGGATACGCCCTGGACGGGTCGCCAGTCCATCGCAGGGCAGACAGACAGACATACACAGTCACACACACACCTAGGGGCAATTTAGCACATCCAATTGGCCTGACTGCATGTTTTTGGGCTGTGGGAGGAAACCGGAGTACCTGGAGGAAACCCACGCAGAGAACATGCAAACTCCACACAGAAATGACCCTGGTCGCCCGGCCGGGAATCGAACCCAGGCCATTCTTGCTGTGAGGCGACAGCGCTACCCACTGCGCCACCGTGCCGCCTATTTATGCATTGAAATGCTTGTGGTGAGGCTTAGCTAATCACTCTATAGAAAGTAAATAAGTAAAAAAAAAAAACTGAAATATATTAAATATACACAAAATATACACAAGATATATACAGAATGTAGAGACAATATACATTATAAAGTGACTAAGTGACTCAGTGTTACTGTTATTTAAAGTCCATGAATTAGGGAGGCAGAGCTTATAAAGGAGCACTGAAGGGAGGGGTGTATTTGTTATTTGTTCTCCAGAATCGCTTACTGTGCCTTTAAATGTGGCCCTCAGCCCCGCCCTTGATTGTTGTCGGATATCGGACAATCGCACTGAAAGGCGATCGGTATCAGCCCAGAAATTCTAATCATTCCAACTCTATTGGAAACTAAGCTGCAAAAACAGCCCAATATGAATTACTGTTTTATAATGTCAATGAAACCAATGCATATGCATATACCCACCTATTTAACTTCCAGCATTTACAGTGAGTTTACAAGGAGAGCTGCAAAAACATTCTTAGCTTGGACCGCTTTTTGAATCAGGCCAATTTCAGGGCAGCCAATCAAAATGAAGGCCATTTACTTATATCAGTCTTAAAGAAACTGTTACAAAAACAGCTTGTGTAATTGGAACAATAGTCATATGAAATAAATATTGCCTGGTTTTGGAACATGAAAGGAAAAAAAAAAAACACGTCAAACATGGACCACCAGGAAAAAAAAAGGAAAAATGCAGGATATGGGCCCTTAAAATCCTCGACGGTATAACACTTCTCATAGTTGAGTATGGTCTTGGGTTAACAACATAGTAAAAGGGCATTATTAGAGGCAGGAATTTCAGACGAATAGCATAAATGGTTCAAATATTAAATTTGTAATTCACACTTTTTAACATGCAATGCATAAAAATACACACAGAATTAAGCCCTGTGTTTGTGAGTTTTTTAGAATGGGGAAAGAGTCAATAACATGAAAATAGCAATAGGAGGGTGAAATCAAGCTTCACAGCTTATTTGTGGTGTGTAAGCTTTCAGTCAAGATACAACAAAACCTTTTTTGAAATATTCTTTGTCTTAAGTCTAACGAGCAGAGATGCTGTATGATGCAACATACAATGGTAACAACTCTTGTTCTCAGACCATTTGGTTCTCCATCTTCTTTTTACATTTGTATGAATATAGCTTATGTACGTGAACAACTGTATCTGAAATCTCCTCCTCCAGGATACTGTAAGCACAATTAACGGTATTTAATCTTTGGATGGCCACTTACGTTTTCCATTGTGTTGTGTGTGTACTCAGTACTGAACTGAATCAAAGGAAGGTATGTTTGAATATGTAATACAAGGGCTCTGTGCACACTGTAATAGCCACAATGACAATACATGACACAAACAGAGGAGGGCTATGTTAGCTCTGACCCTGCATGTTAGTTTAATTTAAAACCAAGATACAGCTCCTCTGCTTCTCCTGTTTCTCTGCCCATGACATAAGCACATAAACTCATTATTTCAATGGATTCAATAAACATTCCACAGTAGAAAAAGGAAATTGATTAAGTCTCTGGCCTTTGACCTTCTAGGATGTGTCCTATTTGACTACTCTTTTGAGGGAGAGAAATGAAAGAGAGCGCGAAAGAAGAGAAAGTGGAGAAAAAAGACAAAGGAAGAAAGAAAGAAATAGAGAGAGGAAAAGAGAAAAGAGGAGAAAGAAGGAGCAGAGAGATTTCTGTAGTGGGCATCTCTGCAGCGTCATCATTCTATAGCTATCATTATTTTGGTGTTGAGGGTGTGTGAAACGCAGGCCTTAGAGGAACAAAAGAGCAGGAAATTTGTTGTGATGCCTCATCTATAAGGGTGAGTGACTTAAGCTACACTCATCCAATCAAAAAAGCAGCAGGGGATAAATAAATAAATAAATAAATAAATAAATAAATAAATAAATACTCAAAGTCATTCCTTCAGTGACCCCTAATACATAAAATACCTACACGTCCACATATATATGCACATTCGCACTAGGACTGAAAGATTAATCATTTTATTTCAAAATCACAATTTTAAAGAGTGCAGTTTTAACCACAGCGTACATAATCAACAACAGTGTTTTAGGTTTTAAGAGGGGAAATTTCCCCTAATAACATGAAGCTTGTGAACAGCCTATAAGTGAGTTATATCAATCAAATCAACTAAACACTTTCAAGTCAGCCTCAAGCTTAAAGCCACAAAATGTTGATATTCTGTTCATCTTGGCCAAGTAAAAAAGCATGGACTTTAATTTACAGGAAACAATCACAAATTAAATAGCAGTCACAATATTGGGGAAAACACAAAATGTGTTTTCCCCAAATCGCTCATCCCTAATTCACAGTTAGCCAGCATATGACTAAAATCTCATACTGTGTGCTTTTCCTGAAGCACAGTCTGAAACATCTGACCACAAAACAGAATGCTTACATCAACAATCAAACAAAAGTATATGATTATCTCTCTTATCCTGTATATGCTATGAATAGCAATTTCTAACACATCTCTGATGAACAGTCTACTAGCCATGAGGTAAGACTACCAAAATAGAAAAACCCTTCAGACACAACACAGCGTAATCAGACTGTGGCATAAAAGAGCGGCACAGAGAAGACGGAAGAAAGAAAGAGACAGGGAGGGACTATGTGTGTGCGCATGTGTCTGCGTCCTGAAGTGTTGCTACAGCCGTCTCTACGGGCAACCGGAAAAGAATCCTTCCTTCTCTCCAAGCAGAATGTGTCTGAGAGCGATGCACAAATCAGAGTCCTTGAGGAATTGTTTTAATTCCATGTCACCACGAAAAGCTCCAGGAGAGCGCGGGCTTTGATGGCACTGACAGCCGAAGAGAGTGCTCCAAAACCGGGGACAGACCCCACAGACATTCTGCTTGCTGGAGATACAGTGTGAAGGAAGGCAGCATGTCACCGAGCACACCTCCACGTTAACTAGCATAACTGGTGCCAGCAGTGTGTCAGGTGCAGGCAACAAAGCTGAACCTGAAGGGCAACCTGGCATGTCCATGCTGCCCATTTCAGAGCTCAGAGCAGAAGAAAAAAAACAGATGAGTGCTGGCAGCTGGCACGCAGTGAGGCAAGGGCCCAGTGGGCAACTGACCGGCAGCCCATGATGCCAGTCATGTATTAATGGCCAGTGTGCCAGCCCATGCCCTTCAAGAGACCATGCACGTGAGTTGGCTTCTTGCTTGAATGCTTTAAAAGGCTCAGGAAATTGTGTCCCAGTGTAAAACGAAACCATATATTGTTTTACCATCATTGTAACAGAGGAAAAAAATACTTTATACTTTTCTCTCATTTACTCCAGCGACATTTAATCCTTTAAACTCTTTAAAAGTTTAATCATAAGGCCTCAGGGGGAGTTAATCTGCAGTGACCTCCTCACAGGGACACTGCCTGTGGCTCTCAACAATATGCCACTCACTTTCATCCTCAATCCACGCTGACCACCACAATAGCGAGCAATCAAACTTCTCAGTGCCACTTCTGAAGCCAGCACTGCCACAACAGCAGTGAGGCTTCAATTCAGCTTATGAATAAGCAGGTAACTTACGACAGTTTTCTTCATCGCTGTTGTCAGAGCAGTCATCGTCGTCGTCGCATCGCCACGGCGTAGGAATACACCTGCCGTTCTTGCACTGAAACTGTCCAGTCTGGCAATCCGTTTTGGTCCCTGCAATGAGAACAACACTTGTTTTTGAGGAATAGCACCGCTGAGGATAACTGGTACGTGGCGTGGGCTGCTTTACAAAGGCAATGGCATTAACATACACGGTAGCTGACAACCTACTACCGTGTTAAGTGTCAGACTACTGATGATGTGGACGCTGTTGTTTCAGATATGATGAGCTAACGCGTAGCCACGCTGGTTAGTTGATAACAGCAGTCTGCACAGAAATGTCACACTGTCTGCCCTGAGTTGTGTTTTCTTCACATTTCTCACTGCGTGTTAACACGTACATGTTCATGATATCCCCTTTTAGCGGAAGGCTCAGGTACGTGTATATATGAAACGTTAACACAGTGACCGCTGCTGTACGTTTAATGGGTTTAACGGCAGGTCTCTGCATAACAACCTTGGCGAGGTGTCAGCCCACGTAGGCTCTTTTCAACACACCAAGATAAACGTTTTCGGCTAAAAACCGAAACCCCACATAACAAAAAAAATGACTGGCACTTCCTCTACACAATGACACACTGTTAGCTATCGACAAGTTAGCCATCGGCAAGCAACCCGCCTTCGTCACCGTCCTCACTCACGAGCGCACAACGACGGTTATTCTCTCTCAACTTCTCATGACAACGACCCACCTTTAGCGTAAAGAGCCTCCGCCAGTAGCAAATATAAGAGCAGCAGCTTTCCTCTTCCTGTCCACATGCTTCAAGATGACGGGGTTGTCCGTGTGCTCATATAAAATATAAAAAAAAGAATGACAGACTCCGTCTTTCCTCTCACAGAGCTACTGCGCTGCTGTTGCCTCTCGCCGGAATCGCCACGGCTTTCAATTTGAATTGGTGATGTCACCGTTCGTAAGGCGGGGCCATGCCAGCAGTAACGTCGTTTTGTCCCACCCGTTTTTTCGCTAAGCCCCTCCCCCTGTGCTACTATTGGCTAATCCTTCGCACACACAGTCCGGAGGCAGAAGCCACCAGCCAAACCTCGCACAGGGGGCGTGGTTAGTTGGAATACAGGTGGAGAAACAAAACGGTGCGGGATCTGTAGGCCTACGAGCAAGGCAGCTGGCGAAGTGACCTGTATTGTGAAAATACTGGAGTAGAAATAATCTGATGGAGGATGGGATTTTCTCTATAAAACACCAAGGCCCAAAGCGTGAGTTATTACTGCACTCACGTCTGTTCATGTATTTTGTGGTTTGGTGCTACTGACATTTTAATATTGTCTGTAGGAGATAAAACTAGTGAAAGAACAGTAGGCCCCGTTGAGAGTCACATGGATTAAAGATGTGTTCTGACAGTGAATCGAATGCAAGCAAAACAAAGTGGAACATAACATCTATGAAGGAAAGTTCACAGAAAACAAAATGTGAGTGGCGCTGTCAGTGAAAAACACTGTGAACATACATTTTATTCCTCTGTGTGATTTCATGCTTGGGGGTTTTAATGAACTGGAGCAGAATGGCAGTTCTTGAGGTACCTCATCCCCCAACCAACAGCTTTTGGTGACATATGAACTGGAAGCTCAGAGCAAGGTTAATACATGTGTTTTATTGAGCCATAACATGCAGCAAGCCAAAAACAATCGTTCTGAAACTCCTGCCCTTTCACTTCCTGGTTGCTTGAGTTTGGTATAGCAACGAGAGGTTTCATCTGTACACTTTTTATTCAAACTGATGAGCTGGTCTGATGGGAGTTCCCACTGGTGCACTTTAAAATCATTTAACTTTAATGGCTGCTTTTACATACTCAGCAACTTTACTGCTTCACCTGGTGTGGACATTGTAAAATAAACAAAAGTGACATTAAAGCTGGTTGAGCTGTAACTTTGAATATGCCTGCACATGCAAGCCTCTTGAAGTCCACAGTGGAATACTCAGTGCATTTCCTTTCTTTTTAAAGGATAAATTAGTCTATATTTCTGTCCATAAATCCCAAAGCTGTGTCATTCATGACTCCATTGAAATGGCCTTTTAAGTTTTGTACTCTCTTTCTTCATCAAAAGCTTCTACAGTATGCTCAACCCTTTCCTTGTCGCACTATAACAGAACATGCAAGAGAGAGAGGCGCTGATCAGCACTTTCTCTCTCTATGCAGGCAGAACTAGCTGAAACGGCTGGCTGCCAAGCCACTGACCCAAAAAGCAAAGAAACATTTAGTCAATACTTGGCCCACTGCCTATGAAATATTGTGGTGAAAATCAAGCACTGAATATGATTTTATCCAATGATGTAGGAGTGAAAGTTACTCCATTGTTGTCACTTTTCACATAAAACATCAGCACAGCTGGATGTACCTAAACAGACAGGGAAAACTAAATGTCTCTTACTTTCCTGTCTAATCTGGACAGAAATGGCGGATTGAGGACTCTGTAGTACAGCAGTTGTTCATGCTGGGTTCTGGCATATTTCAGTGTGGTGCTCTATAAAAGTTGATTTGAAGCATTTGTGAAGTTTAAATGACGTAAAATATTGCCTTTTTTACTGTTTCTTTTAGAGTGTTTGAGTTGACTAAAACCAGGTAAGGTGCTTGTTTCCGTGTTTTTTGAAGCTGAACTGATGAACTATTTTTTACAGTCTAATAAAGATATGCAGAAAAAAAAATGTGTGACAATATGCAAGTTTTCCAGGTATGTTATATAAGAGCATACGACTACAGAAATCCCAGCATATTGTCACTGTTGGACTAAAACCTTGTCCAACTCCCAGTCTTCCAGATTTTTTCAAGTAATTTTAGACCAGTCTCTACTGGTCCCTTCATCATGACTTTTTCACACAATGGAAAGAGCAAGTTTTATTCTGACAGTGACAATATATTACTTGAATATCTAGATATATGTAAGTAACTTGTTTAATGTTGTAATATTTTTAATTTTGTAAGAGAATTAATTTGTTCAGTAACATTGAAATTGAATGCATAGCTGTCGGAGTAGAGTTGATTAGAATACTAAGCTCAAATGACTCACAAAATCACAAAATAAATGTCCTGGCACAAGTATTCAGGGAGGTATTTAGATAATTTTACTGTAAATTGACATGAGACTGAATATAGCAGGCCTAATTACCTATATTTGTACCATAAGTGTCTATTGGTCATCTAGACATATACAGTCACATGCAAAGGTTTGAACACCTGTGGACAAAGTATACTTTTTGTTAATTTTCTAAGTGAAAATAAGGATTTTTGGATAAGGAAATATGGATTTTTGTCTGGAAATTGTAGGGCACAACTTGTATTCATTTACTGAGTTTAACACATTGCAAAAATAAAACATAGAATATAAAATATGCCGCAACTCTTGCATAGGCCCTATTGTCAATTAAAATATGCAGAGGTGTGCCCTCTGTAGAAGGTGTGTATTTATTTTGACTTGACTGGGGCATCCAAACTTTTGCATACGACTGTTAGCCATTCTAGATATGCATGCCTTTATCTCTGCCAGTAAGACTGAAAAGTGCAAGCGCTCCTATTACCTTTCACCTACTGCGCCTCTTTTTCTCTTAGCATCTGTAATTTCCTACTGTCAGTCAAGCACGACAATGATTGTCATATTTCAGATCCAGTGAATCAGTTGCTCAGTGACTTATGAAGAGGCAAGGTGCATTTAGATGGTTTTCACTGCTCAGATGAATCAGTAGAATCACATAAGTAGGAATATGTGGGCACATACCGGATCAAATAACCTATAAATAAATCATAGCCATATTCCAGCATACTGTGTATATTACAGTGCTCTGTGCACAAGGGGTTTTAATGCGTAGGCGAGCGCAGGGCACAATCTAATGTAGGGTAGAATGTAACACATATTATTAAAGTAGTTAAACAGGTTCAAGTAGAATATGTTTTTGATCACTTTTTGGTATTTCCATAGTATCATTACATGTGGATTTTCACAGCATTTGGATAGCTGTTTCTTGAGATTCACTGTCAAGACTGTTTTTCATCATGTTGTGTGTGTGAGTCAGAAAGTTCACACCTATATTATTTTAATCACCCTTTTGGTGCCAAGAAATGGCACTGTTTAGAAGCATATAAACAGCTCACATTGAGAGCTAACCAGGCTGAAGTACAGCCTCCATACTTTACTCCATACTAGTTTTAACACAGTGTTACAGCTAAGCTGCCCAAAGCAAACAATGAGAGAAGTTCATATTTCCCTCATACAAATTCAAAACAGTTCATTTTTAGAACATTTTATTCACACATTCATTAAAAAAACTACTATTAAAAATAGTTTAGTTTTGTGGTGCCTAATTTATTGCATTTAGGTCAGATTTAAACAACATCAAAAAGATTTAATTGTGTTTGCATTAACTTACTAGCTATTGTTACAACTAGCCCCTCAGTTTGTTACAATTAAACCTGTCTATGGGATAAATTCTAGAATTTGCACTTGTGCCACTTTTAGCTGAATTGTTCACAAACAGTAGATGCTTGATACAAAGCTTGTAGTAGAGGTGTGTAGCTTGCACACAAAAAAATCTTGCTCAAATATTTTAAAATCATTTATCAAAAAACAAAATGTGTTAGGCTGCTCCCCCTCTCCCCAGCATTGTTTGTTATCCAAGTATGAGCTATGAACTGGCTCCTTAACCAGACTACTCTCCTGTGGCGGGTAAATAGGCCTGCTTTAATTTAGGATTACAAGCTATAACAGACAGATTAACATCATGATGTGTGGGATGCTTTGTACTGAGTGAGTACAAAGGCCATCTTGAATGGTTTGTATTTACAACACTGATAATCTCTCAAGCTTTCTGCACCAAACACAGAAGTGTTTAAAACTAAGCTTTTGCCAAATGCCAGCCAAAAGGGATTTTCTTTCTCCTGCAACCTCACTGTGCTGAATATCTTCACAATTTGAAGCAGTGCTGTAACTATTATATGCATTCTCAAGGCTCGCAGGTCTTAAGACTTAGAAAGTCATTAATGAAAAGAGATTGTAGCCATCACCAGTCTTTCTGGACAACATGTACATAAAAATGTAATTAATGTCAAATTAGAAGGATGCTTTCTAGGCACACAATAATGAATCATGTCTTTGTGATAATGAGTGAGAATCGTGGAGAATGAACATTCTTTTAATTATGCTATCAAATGCAGTTGCATTGTTTCACCACTAAAGTTTGCAAACCATCAGCACCAATCAACAACTCACTCCAGCACTCTTCCTGCCCAGCTGTTGATAGTAAGTTGTACAACAACATGATTATAGTCATCAGGGCTGTTTTGAGGGGTGGATGAGGCCTGGGCCCAGTCAACCCATTCAGGGCCCATTTCACATGATGCTGTTCTTGATTCTACTATAAACTACAGTATTGTTTGCTATAAAATCAGTTCACAACCAACCAGCAAAAGAATTACTCTGCGCTTTCAGGATATTGCATAATATTCAGTAACAGCATCTTTCTGGCCTTTTTTTAGTAAGTGTAGCAGTGGAAAGGTTTCTGTGTGCTTCATGAAAATGTGTCATACACCTATATATAAGGCTAAATATATATACTTCTATTAAAAAATAGAAAAGAATACATGAAGTCCCAGACAACCCAGAGTAAAATATTGAAAATGTTTGTATGATACTAAACTTGAGTGTTCTATTAAACATCCAGCAAAGCTTGAATAAAAAATATAAGATATAAATTTGATAAAACATGGCTTAAAAAAAAACAGATCAGACCTGTCTGAGAACTGTGTGGGCGTGGCTAGTGAGCAGCTTGATTTACAGGTCTCTGTCCAACACTCCTAGCCTGCTCCAGACGAACAGACGTGCAGACGGATGGAAGGAAATAGTGA